ACAAGACGCTGTACAGTAATCCGACTTTATCCTTCTTGTTACTGTAATTCTGCGCCAGATAGAGCGACACGGTAGGATATATGCAGAGAAACCTTAAATGTATGAAAGTGTTTCTGCTAGATTATGGAAAGTAATACTATGAATAATACTGCAAAGTAATTTGAAGATTATTTGTTTGACACATAGAAAGCAAAACCTACTAATTTAAAAAGTGACTGAAAAAAATGGTTGTGGAAATTCCAGTACAATGCAATATTTGTCATACTGAGGCAATCTCAGTACTCCAATTGAGCAAGGAAAGCAAACCAAACAGTGATGGTCCTATCCTGAAAGAAGAAACCATGATCAAGGCGGAACCAATTGAGCATTTTGAAGAAACCGAGAGCTCCGAAACAACCATGGGTAGGTTGAGCTAAAATCAAATTCTAAAGCCACCCTTAAGAAGCATTAGACAGAGCTTTAATGAAAATTGGAAAATGCGAATTGTTTTCCCTGAATGTCAGGATCTTTTCAGTGTGCAACATCTGCGAGCAAGTCGATGTACCCATCTCCCAGTGCGTCATCACAAAATCTGCGGACACGTTCAACGCAACACCTGCATTCGAAAAACATTTCAACTCTCTTCCAAAAGCAGAGCATTGCTCCTCGAAAAGCAGTTGGATTGGACAATTCGCAATCCCTGCAGTGTCTCCTCTCATTTAAGAGGAGGACTGTTCCACTGCAATGAGAGTGGGGGCTTTGAACGGGATGTGGTGTAGATGCTTAATCTCTTCTGCTTAGCATGAAATTTTGCATTTATTAGTTGCAGTGGAATAAACATCGCTTCAAAGTTTTTGTAAAATTATGAAATTATGTACACTGATTTGGCATTTTATGTAGCGAATATAAACAACAGCACAAATGTTACAGAATTTTCTACTCTATTGCAAAAATACTAACCTAACATTGGAGATTATTCGCCAAAAAACGAAAATAACGCAGACACTTGTTCGCTTTTCTTTGACGTTAGCATTCAAAAATTTTTGAAGTT